ATTTTTTTTTAATTTAGTTTTTATTTCTTTTTTATTTCTTTATTTATTTTTATAGCTTAAATTGTTCTTTTTACATTTATTATATTAATTGTTCTTTTATATTTAATACATATCAATAAAATTAGTTTTGTTAATTATGAGATCGTTTAGTTTTTTCTTTAGAGCAATAAGATTATCCAGTTTATTAAGTTCTATATTTTGAGGTATTATTTTATTGTATAAATAGGGGCCTCGGTATACAATTGAAAATCTCGTGAAATTTGTTTTTTTATGGGCAACGTAGAGTTTCCGGTTCCTCGTGTGATATATCTGTTGGCGTTGGTTTAAAAAAGGTTATTAGTAAAATAAATTAGGACAAGTCCAAACTTATATTTGAGCATAAATAAAATATTTTGGTAGATGTTAAATTGATAGATATTTAAAGCATTCAAGTTTTTAAGTAAAGGATCGGCATGATTGAATTTATTTTTATTATAAATCAATCTTGATGCGTGTTTTTGGTGTATATATAGAGAACTTAATTTAGATTTATTTGTACTTCCCCAGGCAATATTAGCATATGTTAGGTAACTTTGTATATAAGAAAAATAGAGGATTTTTAGATTCTCTTGGGAAAGTATAGGTTTGACTTTGCAAAGTATACCGATGCTTTTTGATATTTTTGTATTTAATGTTTTTATATGGGTTTTCCAAGAAATCGTTTCGTCAATAATTATCCCAAGAAATTTAATAGTTTCAGTTCTTTCAATGTTTATCTTATCAATTTTTAATAATGGTAGAATGCTTGATATTATTTTTTTTTGCTGGTTGGAATGAAAGATGTATTTTGTTTTTTCTGTATTTATTGATAATTTATTTACTTTAAATCAAATGTTTAGACTCTCAAGGTCATCGTTTGCAGATTCAAAGAGATTTTCAATTGATGCTGATAAATAAAATAAATTTGTATCATCAGCAAACATTACTGTATCGAGTTTTTTTAGTGATTGTGGAAGATCGTTAATATAGATTAAAAATAAAAGAGGACCAAGAATGGAACCTTGTGGAACTCCACATTTTATTTTTTAAGAAATTATATATAATTATTATAGATTTATTTTGTTTTGCTGAATATAATATGACATCTCCTTAATTTTAAATAGAGAGTGTATATAGTTTTTACTATACTTGGAGACATTAAAAATTGATTTAACTGCGTTCCTTCCAAATGTGTCGAGTCTTTTCATTGTTGCATCTTTTATTTTCACAGAGCTCTAGACCGTGGGTTAACGTCGGAACTGCTAATGATTTATATAATTGGATAATAGAACTTGGATGTGCAAACCGGATTTCAGATTGAATAAGAGTTTGCACTGTTGCCCAGAAATTTGATACCCTAATATCAATATTCATTCTATTTAGTGAAGCAAAAATTGATTTTTTTGTATCCCAAGTAAAGCCGAATTGATTAAGTTTCTCACAAAGTATAATTTGATGGTTGTCTTGAGATATTGTGCAGTTCATTATTTGTCTTTTTCCATAGAGCAAAAGTTCTGATTTGAAAGCATTAAGTTTTATCCCGTTTAAACTGTTGTATATGTTACACGTTGAAATAAGTTTTTTTAGGCCCCAGAGGGTAGAGCTGAGAAGAATGATGTCGTCAGCATAAGCTACTACACAAATCAAGTTTCCATATAGTAGTACCAACAATTTCATCATTTTTTATTGTTTCGAGTAGCTTCTCAGAGTATATGTTATATTGGTAGGGTGAGAGAATCGATCCTTGTCTTACTGCTTGCCTAAGATCAAATGAGACTGATTTGCAACCTAGGTATGAGACAGTTGCACTGCCTGTACGGTATAAAGAAGATATAGTCTTAACTATTTGGAGAGGTAGATTTTTATCAAAATAAAGTATATTAAAAAGAACATCCCAGTTGCAGCTGTCAAAAGCCTTTTCAGCATCTAGTGAACATAAAAAAACAGGCGATTATAATGCTTAATTGTTTCGCTTACAACAAATTAAGCATGGAGGGTTGAGCTCTTATTATTGATTGCATATTGGATATATAACAAATATATTTATAATACTACAAATGACTGAAAAGTTCATGAATATTTGTAGATGATTTGCTCGTATTGATATTATCTACAATATTGTTCGCTGGAAATGAGGAAGTACAAGTGTTTTGATTGTCACAATATAAACGTTTGATTTTTTTTTCTTATTTTATTTTTCTTATTAGCCATGTTTAAATGTAAAACAAAAAATATCTTCAGTAAAGTTTTCAAATATGGTAATTCAATAGCTCTGAAAAACTAATCCAATAGCTTCAACAATTTACTTAAAGATAGCAATGACATTGCCAGTGTACTGTACGATGTTCATTGAGCAATTTACGAATAAAATAATTGAAATATAAACAACAGAATATTTTAATGCATAGTAGATTTATTTTAAATAAAACATTGAAACTACTTAATTTTATAGGGGATAGATATAAAAAAACTGTTTTTGTTGCTATGCACGTTGTTATGAACAATAATTAACATAAGATGACACATTTGCTGTTTTAAACAGGTTTTTAATGTAAAGAATGAATAAAAATCATTTTCTTATGAAGGAAAGGTAGTTTATCTAATAAAAAAATTAAGAAAAAAAATCCTTTTTTTTTATTTTTTTTACCCCCTTAACATACGAATTGTAGTTGTACTATTCTTATTTTTATTATGTGAAATTATTATAATCTATTTATAAATTTTAAAACTTATTTAAATATGTACTATATATAAATGTTAAACCGAATTTCTAATTGAGTTAAATATTATGGTTAATTAATAATAAACTTTTGTTTAAAGAATGTCAAACTTTCCTTTAGAGAATTATTAATGAGTTTTGAGAAAATAACAAGATCAGTAAAACAACAACAACATTATCACGACAGTAAAAGCAACAACAACAGCAAAAATAATATAGCAACAAGAGCATAAAAGCAAAAAATAATAGCAACAAGAGCAGCAACAAGAGCAGCAACAAGAACAGTAACAACAACAGTAACAACAACCAACAGCAACAACCAACAACTATAATATATTGTTAAAACAATAAGCGTGCCGCAATATAAAACACAGTGAATAATTTTAAACAAATAAAGTTTCAATTTTTTTTACGACAATACAAAATCTATATTGTAGTTTATGTTAGAGTTTTTTCTTCATTGTCAATTTGCCCTTGAAAAACAACGTAAAAAATAATAAACGTATTAACATATCTGATCCCAAGTATATATATATATATATATATATATATATATATATATATATATATATATATATATATATATACCATTTAAGAAATTAATTCAAGCTGGCTATGAAAGAACAGAAAAAACTTGTGCAAATTCTGTATATTTGTTGCTCACGTCTAGCGCGGATTGCCTGTTCAATGGCAAGTGATGCTCTTCACAAAAACTAAACGATATTCTTAGATTAGCAAGGTTGTTTCCAATGCTGCATTGAAGAATTTTTAAAATCATACTTGGTACCTTGGGTCAAAAATGATTCCACTTTTAATATTTACTGTTGCTTTTGCAGAGGCTGAAACTTTTTGTTTCAAGGCTTTGTGGAAGTTCTTGACACATCAACCATTTTTGGAAAAACATTGTTTGGTAGATTCTTTTCGGGTTGACCAATCAACCATATTGCAGTTCGATTATTTGTCGGAACATTTGAAGAACTTGCATTTCCACTCATTTTCAGCAACAAGTTAAAATTAAATTAAATCCAAATGGAACTTAATTTTTGAAATTAAATTTGCCAAGATATTTTAAAATTTGCCAAGATATTTTAAAATATGTAGTGATTACCAATGTGATGGAATCGAAATTATCACGTGATTGAAATAAAATCGTCATACAATTTAAAAACTACAAACACTTAAGTAAGTTTCCCAATGATATTTAGCTAAAATAAACAAGGTATTACAGAAAACTATGATATATATTAATGTTCTTTGGTAAAATAGCTTTAATAATTATTTTATAAGATTAAAATAAATACTACTTAAGTTAATAAAAAAGTATACGTTTTGCAAACTGAAGCAGCAAACAACAAGATGGCTACCTATCACATGATCAAAGAAATTATTTTATTAGATAAAGTAACTCATAAAGGATAATGGTACATCAAATTTGCTTAATATTTTTTGAAAACAAGAACATGGGATAAAATTGACAAATGTTTCGAGCGTAATGCTACTTTTGTAAAACTAAAAGACCTGTTTGAATGTTCATTGTTTGAATGATCATTAACATTATTTGAGCAACCTCTAAATATTATTTTATTTTAATTATCTTTTGCGCAATAAACTTCAATGCCATCTAGCACACACAAAAAAACGACTGTCCCAGACAGCAAGCTTACATTGGACCAACATTGGGCCAATGCATGATGATGCATTGGCCCAATGTTGAAAGTCGATGTTGGCCCAATGCAGGTTTGATCATTGGTTAGGTATTGGCCCAACGTTGTGTAAAACATAGGCCCAATGTTGTATACAACGTTTACCCAACATTGGCACAACGTTGTATATAACGTTAGACCAATATTGTAAATAACATTGTATACAAAATTGGCCTAACGTTGTATACAACATTAGCCCAATATCGTATGTTATACGATTATTATTTTTATATCGGTCTAACGTTTTATGCAATCATCTTATTTATAACAACAAGTTGTTATAAATAAGATGATTTGCATCGCTATATTGAAAAATTATAGAGAAAAAAAAGAATGTATGTTACAAGTATAAAAATTTATTTATTTAACATAGTTTCTCGGTTAAATATATATATTGCAAACACCAAACTTATACCAAAAACTGACACATTGAGTTTTAAATAAAAAAATTCACTATAAAATTTATAGAGTAGTTTCGATATTGGCTGAGCTAATTGTTATTGAATCGTGTTTAGCTTATGATATTTGGTGCCCACGATGATTATTTTTCTTCCGCTATCTCTATCACATGTCTGCATAAGCCATGCTTATTTGACTTCACAGTTTCTGCAAAAAAAAATAGTTGTTTGTTTAATTATGCACCAAAGAAACATAACAAATTGAAAGTAATTCTGTAATGCAAAATTGAAACTGAAAAAATAAACTTTTCTAAACCACTTACCAATAGCAGCATATACAATCAACATTTTTCCTATTCCAATTTTTTTTCCTCTCGTTGCATAATTTAATTTTACAGCTAGGCTATTATAAAAAACTATTCTTAGTAAATAACATATACAATCTCCTTCGTCTTTAACTCCAATTTGTGCCAAATAATTAACCTGCAAAAATACACAACCTGGCAGTAATTAAAGTAACTTTTGTTTAGACTTAATTGAATATAAAATATCATTTACAAAAAATCTTCAAAGAGTATTTTATTTTAAGTGTATAACTTGTACTAAGATATCATACTAAATGCATAAACAGATCATAAAAAAATATGTACCGTTTACTTAAGTGTTTTCTTGTCTTTTTTCTTCCAGAGTACTTGATTTCTTCACTGCTTTTAATGACAATGACACTCTTTCAGGCAATACAATAATTATCATACTTTTGTTACTCAATTTTTTATAATTGCTTTTGATGTGTTTTGTAGTTCACCAAGTTGCCCTTCAATGCTTGCCCATTGTGTCAATAATACCAGCATATCTTTCAAGGATACAACTTTATCTTGAAACATTAAAGTTAATTATATTATTAAGATACTATACAACTAATTACATATTATATTTAGAATTTATGAAAGTAAATACAACAATCACTAATAAAACAGATAAAATTAAAGACAGAGGGGCAAACTTTTAATGATAAAAATATATACTTGCTAATAGATTCATAATATTTTTATGAATTATGAAATTTGTAGGTGTGCATTCAATTTCTGGGAGAGACACAAAACAATTCTCGTTAATGTTTAAGATAAAAATTGCAATAAAAAACAAAAAAACTCATATTAAAACAATGTTTCTCCAACAGGGTTTGTAGCCAACTATTTATATAAAATTCAATGACTTTTTTGAAAAATCAGATGAATTTCCCAGACCATTTTTAACAATGGTTTTTACAAAGTGCTTAAAATTACTATCTACTGTAATGGAAATGCTAAGATTATACATGGTTTGAATGACAAAACTTATAAAACTTAGCTATTAGTTAAGTTGGATATTAGTATGGATTTTATTATACATGTTAGTATGGATCTTATTATTAAGGATGACTAAGAACGAACACTAAGAAAAACATAAGTTTCTGAAAAAATAAATGGGTAGCACCAAAAAAAACATAATAGCTTAATTGAGTGCTGTATTTTGAAAATGTGACAAGGCACAAAATTAAAATTTTACAGAAGAGTAAAAAACATTTCTCCTGTAAAAAATTTTACTTTTATTTTATCTAAAAAATTTTTTATAAAAAAAAAAATCTTTATTACATTTAAAAAATCTTTATCTCATAATTTTATCTTTTCCTAAAAAAAATACTCTTTTCAAATAATCTCACTTTTAAAAAAAGTGTGACTCTTCACTTTTTCAAAATACAGCATTAAATTGTTAAACGGGTAACTTCTTAACTAGAATTACTGACTTTTCCATGACTATCTAAAAATAAAAATAATTCCCTGACTTTTCCAGGTTTTCCACGACTTTGGCCAATATTAACATATTTTCCAGGTAAAGTACAGACATTGTCCAATGTTTGTAAATAATTTTTTTTACATATTTTAGTTCTGAATTTTAAAAATACAATTTTTAAAAATAATATCATTTATAAAAATATTGTATTACCTTCGTCTTTTAGATAAATTTAAATGATCGTTTATATAATGAATAATAATGATCCACCAGCAACTGTTAAAACTTTAAACTGATATGAATACTTTGTTGTTTTTTTCAACAGTTGATTTCAAGTGAATTTCAAAGTTGGTGACACCAACTTTGAAATCCTACAAAATTTTTTTGCTACGCCCATAAACTTAAATGTTCTAGATATTAAATTCTAGATAATAATTCCATAGATATTAAATTAAAAAATAATAAAACCAAGAATAATGTCCTTCTGCCTCAGAAAGATGGAATATATAAAGGGTTGTTTCGATTTAAATTGTGATTTAAATCAGACAAATAATGATTGAAATTGAGTCTTTTTTTTTAAATTGTTTTTAATGATTATTTATTGATTTAATCTCATAATTCAATCAATTATTATAGACTAGTCATTGGTCTTAAAACAAAATGTCTGGCAATATTAGAAAGCTCTTTATAAGTAGAATATAAATTCTAGTAACATCACTTTTTGTACACTGTTTTAATATGTTAGTAGATGGGGCTTCACTATCAAACACAGAAAAAATCATACAAAAAAGACATACTTAAAATGTAAAATATCAGCTTCTAACAACTTCAACGCCACATGTATATTATTGATACCTTTAATAATATATCAATTCAATTCAATATATATATTCTGCAAATGTTATTTCTGTACCATTTAAATTTATTAAAAATATGAATTTTAATGTTATGATTTTTTGCTTTTATATATTGTTTATATAGTTTGTTTTTAATAGATATTGATTTTAGAATTCCATTGGTAATCCAAAGTTTTGATTTAAGTTTAATTTGTTTAGCAGTTAGTTTTTTTATCAACATGCACCCTATAAAAAACTAACTGCTAAACAAATTAAACTTAAATCAAAACCTTGGATTACCAATGGAATTCTAAAATCAATATCTATTAAAAACAAACTATATAAACAATATATAAAAGCAAAAAATCATAACATTAAAATTCATATTTTTAATAAATTTAAATGGTACAGAAATAACATTTGCAATTTACTAAAACTTTCTAAAAAATCATATTACATCAACTTTTTTAACAATAATCTTTACAATGTAAAAAATACTTGGAAAGGTATAAAAGAAATTATTAATATCAAACCTTCTTCCTTTTCCAGTAAATCTATTAATCTCAAATTTAATGGCAATACAATTTCAGACAGCAAAGCTATATCAAACATATTTAATAATTACTTTGTAAATACTCAACAAACACTGTTAACAAAAATTGTTTCACCTAAATGTAATTTTTCAGACTATTTAAATAACCCAAATATCAACTCCTTTTTTATAGATCCAGTCACTGAAAATGAAGTATCAAATCTTATAAAAAGTTTACAAAGTAAAAAAAGTTTAGGTATCAATAGTATTCCCACGTTTCTTCTCAAACTTGTTTCCCATATCATCTCAAAGTCTCTCTGTACAATGATAAATAGCTATTTTGAAAATGGACTTTTTCCAGATGTCTTTAAAATAGCTAAAGTTATTCCATTTTATAAAAAAGGCTCTAGAACTGACCACACTAACTATCGCCCAATTTCGCTACTGTCAAACATCAGTAAAATATTTGAAAAAGCTATGCACAACAGACTTTACAACTTTTTAGATAAATATCAATGTCTTTACAAACACCAATATGGGTTTCGAAGCAAGCATTCCACAACGCATGCACTTATTGAAATCACTGAGGTTATCAGAAAAGCTCTTGACAATAAGCTTTTTGCTTGTGGTGTGTTTGTTGATCTACAGAAAGCATTTGACACTGTTGATCATTCTATTCTTCTAAGTAAACTGGAATACTATGGTATTAGAGGAATTTCTCTCCAATGGTTTACCTCATATCTTTATAATAGGTTTCAATTTGTATCTATTAACGGTAACACATCTCCTTTAGTAAAATGCACTACAGGTGTACCTCAAGGCTCTGTATTAGGGCCATTGCTTTTCCTTGTTTTCATTAATGACCTTAATTTATCATTAAAATATACAACTTCCTACCATTTTGCTGATGACACTAACTTACTTTTAATTAATAAATCATTAAAAAAAATAAACAAATATATTAATCATGATCTATCTAATCTAATACAATGGCTTCGATCTAACAAACTGTCTCTGAATACTAGTAAAACCGAAATTATCATCTTTAAATCAAAACAATCAAAAATCAGTAAACATCTAAATTTTAGGCTGAGTGGTCAAAAAATCAATCCAGTTATGTACCTAAAGTATCTTGGAATCAAAATTGACTCAAATTTAACTTTTTCTCAACATCTTAAGGACTTGTCAATAAAACTATGTAGATCGAATGGGATGTTAGCTAAAATTCGTCATTATGTCAATCTTGAAACGCTTATCAATATATACCATGCCATTTTTGGATCACATCTTAGGTATGCGTGTCAAGTTTGGGGACAAATCCGCACCCAAGAAATTTTAAGATTATCTAACTTACAAAACAAAGCATTAAAAATAATATATTATCAGCATTATCAATCTAACTCCGATCATCTTTATTTTTTATCCAAAATACTCAAAATTGATGATCTAGTTCAACTATTAAATTGCCATTTTGTCTTTAATTATAAACAAAAATGTCTACCCAGCACATTTACAAATTTTTTTACTGCTAGAGAAAGCTGTCGCTATCATCTACGATCTGCTAATAGCTATAATCTTCATGTACCAAATCATTTTTCTGTAAAATATGGTCTAAAATCCATAAAATACCAAAGTGTAAAATCATGGAACAGTCTACCTTCACCATTAAAATTAATTGACTCTATTACTAATTTCAAAAACTGTCTTTTTAACTATTTTTTAGCAAGATATTATACCTGAAGACTCTGAAATATGTTGTTATGCTTTTATTATTACTACTTTCTTGATACCTACTAGTTTTATTATTAACTTTTTGTTCTCATATTTTTATTGTTATTATTAGTATTGATATTAATAATATTCTTCTATCTTTATTAGTAAATTGTTATTTTTATTTATAACATAATAAGTATTATTATTGCTTTTTTAATTTTTTCTTAAGTTTATTTACTACTTATACTATGTAATTGTTATTACCACTATTATTGCTATTATCTAATATCTTTATTATTATTGTTAGTATTATTACTAATAATATTCCTTTTCATCGTCATCTTATTATTATTGTTAATATTATTTTTATAATTATTATCAATACTATTATTATTGTTATTATAATCACTTTTATTGTAATGTTGTAGGTTTTTACTTTAGATTAGTACTTGTACTATTTGTAAAAGTCCTTGAAATTTTACAACTTATTTCAGAATATATATATTATAATATATTATATTATAATATATATATCTTATAATACTATTATATAGCTATTATTAATTGCTATATAATCTAAACGATTATAAATAAATAATGAAAGAAAAATTTTTTTTAATACTTATACTGTATGACATTTCAAATGTTTGATATATTTAATAAAGAAGAATTTAAAATGTCTTCTTTATTAAATAAATCGAATATTTGAAATGTTACATTTATTTAACAAAGATTATTAAATAAATCAAACATTTGAAATGCCAATACAGGAATAAGTATAAAAAAAATAACTTTAAGATCTTACACAAAAATAATTTGATTATTGTCTTTATTATTACATTAATTATTTAGATTGTAGTAAAAAATGTTTTAAGCATATTATTTAAATGTTAACAATTATTTCATTATTTAAAAAAACAAAACAATAAATAAACAATAAATTTATTTCTTAAAAGAAACCTTTTAAGATTCTTAGAAGATTCATAAATATAGCTTCTTTTTTTATTTTTACAATTTAAAAAAATGGAAAGATAATATCAAAATATTTTTTTAATCTGTCAAACGACACCATTTTAAAAAATCTTTTGCAAAATATATACTAATCCGCAACTATATTGGCCGAATATTGGCCACGACATAAATGTAAGTATAGCAAAGTATTAAGCTTAAACTACATTGGCCAAATGTTGGCCCAACGTAGTACGATAATTGCAAAAAACCGATTTGCAGAATTACAATATTACGCCGAAAAATTGGCTAAATGTTAGCCCAATATAGTAAGATATTTGCAAAAAACCGATTTGCAGAATTGAAAATAATACGTCGAAAAAAAGTATTGGCTAAATGTTGGCCCAATGGAATAAACTTGCTAATGTTAAAACTTACGTTGGGCCAATGTAAGCTTGCTGTCTGGGGTACATTCAAATCAGAGAAAGTTTTTTTTTTTTTTTTTTTTTTTTTGCATTAAAGTGAACATCGATATTAAAAAATAATATATATTAGATATTAATTTTTAACATAAATTCTGCGTATTTTAATATATAGGGGAAAGTCGGGTAGCCCCGGACACTTAAAGAAAAAATAGATTGTACACATGTACTAACAGAAAGTGTCAAAAGATTTTTTTAAAACTATAAACATTTATCTATTTAATTAAAAACAAAAAGAAAATAATTATTGTGTACCATAATCATATACAAAGCAAAAAAAAAAAAAAAAAAAAATATGTTAGAAGAAAGCCGTGTTTCAAAATTGAATGATGATTGATCATTCAATTTTGAAACATGCACCGGACACATAGTTTAACCATAAATTTACCTCTCTAAAAACTGCCTCCGATATGTAAGGAATGGGAATAAAAAAAACATCATTTAGAAATATAAACATTGGCGATTTACTAATGAAAATAAACACTTTAAAAACACTTTTTTCAAATCTCAGGTCTTTTTATTTGAATTGAATGAATTACTATTAAGGGTTTGTGTATTAGATTAAATTTATGATTATTTATAAAAAAAAGTTGATCATTTTTAATATGTATTTGTTGTCTGAAACCATCATGTGTCCGATACCACCCTAATTTTTTCTTGATGAATATTATAAATAAAAATGTATCTTTAACAAAAAAAAATTTATTAGTTTATATAAAATATACATATATTAATATGTGAATCAAATATGATGATACATCGCTCTTCTGGAGATCGGAAAAAATATCTTGCACTCCCAACCAATCGCTTCGGCATATTAAAATAGATATTTTGCATATGACAAATTTTCACTAAAATAATGTTTTTATTATGTTTAAAATTACATGGCGTCTTTAGCTTAAGCTGTACATCATGTGTTCGAAGTTAGCCGCCATCCGGTACTACCCGACTTTTCCCTATAGTCAGTCGATGTATGTACACTCCACAGCGAAATGTTTTTATTCACTTTGAATGTTTATTGTATAATAAATATAGTTATTTAAGAAAACAACAAAAATTTAACATTTTACGATCTGTGCAATAACGCAATCTAGTTCTCGAATAAAGGAAAAAATTATACATTTTGCGAATTGCGCAATTTCACGACCGGCGCGTCACATTCATACCCTTAGATTATTTATATATAACTATAAATAGAATGTAAACTTATTTTATACATAAGAATATAATTATAGATAGAATATAAACTTATTTTATATATAAGAATATAATTATAAATAGAATATAAACTTATAAAATTATAAAAGCAAAAAAGTTTCTTTAAAAACTAACGATTAATAAAACCATGATAATTATATTTATATTTTGATAATTATATTTATATTTTGATTATTAATTTTTATTAAACATAAAAACGAATCAGAAGTTTTATGTTTAATATAAATAACATTAAAGGTTCATTAAATTTAGAATGAAAAAAATTTCAGTTTTAGTTATTAAAAAAAAAATTTACGCTAAAACAAGATAAAGACAAAAAAAAAAAAAAAAAAAATCTTTTTACACTACATAGTTCTTTAAATTTCTTATTTTTTATTTTATGGAAACTTTACTTTATTAATATTGTATAACAATTTTTGGTACTCGAAACGTAAGAGATTAAAATTTTTGTCATGTTGACATTTCCATTGGCTTTATCAATGCGTTTGCTATTATTAACATTGGTATTACCTTGAACACAAACGTTGTTTTAAATATTTTAAAGGGAAGGAATTGGTTATCTCCTATAATCTCGAACGGATTAAGTTAGAGATTAAGGTATTATTAAGTTCAAAAAAATGTCTTTAACATTGTAATAGAAAATAAATCTCTTGACATTATAACAATAGTGGCAAGACATTTTTTATAACAAAAGTTTTTTTCTGTTGAGTTGTTATAAGAAATCTTGCCCCATTTATGGAGCAGTAAAAAAGGGTGGAAACGAAACTATATTTATATCTTGTATTTTAAAAGAACAACTGTTTTTTTAAATACTCTTAACTTTGTATGTATAAGTTTGCTTTATGCGCTTAAAAAAAAAAATACCTAGGTTTCGGTCATTGCGAATTGATAGAGTTCATTGAGTATTTTTTTTTTTTTTTAAATTTTTTGATTTTGTGTTACTTTAATTAGGGTAGTTGGTAGTTTGTAAAAACGTTACTAGATGACAAATTTATGAATTTTACATTTTAGTTTTAAATTGAAAAACTCATTTTTCAAAAAAAAAAGTCTGCTTTATTCAAAATTCAGTTTTTCATAAATTGCAAACTTTTTAAAGCAATATATATATATATATATATATATATATATATATATATATATATATATATATATATATATATATATATATATATATAATATATATATATATATATATATATATATATATATATATATATATATATATATATATTATATATACATTAGTTTTATTATTGTTTTATTATTTTATAGACGTTTTTTATTTTTATTCTTTCGGTTTCTAAAGGATAAGTTCGAAACAAAGACATAAAAATGCACTACATTTATCAAGTATTCTTTTAACCGAGCGATATTTTCTTCTCAATTATTATTATTTTTGGATCTTTGCACAAACAGCTTGAACTGATTGTTATATCCTTTGGTAAAAACTAGAATTGTAGTTAAAATAGTAAATTAAAGAAGTTTTTGTTAGAGGTACATAAAAGCTGAAACACCATTTAGTGACGTCATTGACGTATAATAGAAACAGATAAGTAAGAAATTGCTTTTTGATAACCTGCTATTTGTTGGTAAGCTGGCTTTATGCTAATATTGTTTGAAATGGTATGCTAACAATATGATGGTTGTAAGAAAGATTTTTCACAATTCATATCTTAAATGTTATTCCCTACAAAAGCAAATATTTAGCTGATAAAAACTTGTTTTTTTTTTTTTTTTTTTTCTTGAGTGGCAGTGTTGCTTTGTCATGGTTTACAAATGAGAGTTCAATTCTTAATTAAAAGTTGAAGGTTTTATAATGCTTGTGAAAAAACACAAATGTGAAGTATTTTTATGTTCATTTTTAAAAGAATTTTTAAAGAATTTATTGCAAATTTTTTTATTGGTAAAAAAAAATGACTTAATTTAATTTATATTTTTTGAAAGATATGTGTTTTATAAACCGGGTATTAAAAATCCTAATATACACCCATTAGAAAAAAAAAGATAAAGGTCTTAGAATACAAACAATTATGTTTAAAATTGCTTTTTTTTTTGATGAGCTAACAAAGCATTATAGTTGACCCTTATGAAAGCATTGTATTGACATATGCTAACTTTGATATTATGCGTGTTTTGTTAGGTTAACATTAATTTGAACTAGCAACAGTAATAAAAAGTTGAGGTTATGTTAGTCTAATGTACCGATGATTTTAAAATGTAACTATGATAATTTAATTACTACTACTACTACTACTACTACTACTACTACTACTACTACTACTACTACTACTACTACTACTACTACTACTACTACTACTACTACTACTACTACTACTACTACTACTACTACTACTACTACTACTACTACTACTACTACTACTACTACTACTACTACTACTACTACTACTACTACTATACTACTACTACTACTACTACTACTACTACTACTACTACTACTACTACTACTACTACTACTACTACTACTACTACTACTACTACTACTACTACTACTACTACTACTTATATAGTTTTTATAATATTAAACTAAGTTTATAAATATTTATCCTATAAATATATATATATATATATATATATATATATATATATTTGTAGGATAAATATTTATAAACTTAGTTTAATATTGAAAAAATTATATAAGTAGTAGTAGTAGTAATAGTAGTAGTAGTAGTAGTAGTAGTAGTAGTAGTAGTAGTAGTAGTAGTAGTAGTAGTAGTAGTAGTAGTAGTAATAGTAGTAATATATATATATATATATATATATATATATACATATATATATATATATATATATATATATATATATATATATATATATATATATATATATATATATATTTATATATATATATATATATATATATATATATATATATATATATATATATATATATATATATATATATATATATATATATATATAATATATAGTTAATACCTATTTAATAAAGACCGAATGTTTGAAGATTTCAATACATTAGATGATCCGGATTGGGACTACTCTAAAGAACATGGTCCTCACCAATGGTCAAAATATTGGAATTTTACGAAAAGACAGTCTCCAATCAATTTGAATTCAAAATTAATAAAATATAATTCTACTCTAAAACCGTTGCATTTTGATAAAAAAAGCATTAAACTCGAAGTAAAAAACATTGGCAAAAACATTTCTTTCTCTGCCGAAAATAATGCTGAAATCATATTTTCAGGAGGTTATTTAAAAAATCGATACGCATTTCGTGAAATGCATTTTCATTGGGGCGAAGTCCGTCATGGAAAATGTGATCGCGGTTGTGAACATACTATAGATGGCAACAGTTATTCAGCAGAAATGCATATTGTTCATTGGAATGTGGATTTATATAAAACTGAGTTAGAAGCTTTAAAAAGCCCTAATGGTCTTGCCGTGTTAGGATTATTTATAGATGCTAAAGAGATTTACGAACAAAACGAATCTTTTGAATTGGTTATCAATATGTTTAATAAAGTTCCATATATAAACTATAAAACTAAGTTAGAAGTTTCGCCTTATTTTTTGGTTCCATCTTGTACCAAGAAGTTTTACACATACCCTGGCTCATTAACTATTCCCCCTCTTACCGAAAATGTTACATGGATATTACTTGCTGAGCCAATCAAGATTTCTATAGACCAACTTGATAGAATGACTACGTGCACCTCTGATTCTGGATATATAACTAACAATTATCGTCCAATACAACCATTAAACAATCGTGTGATACAATCATCGTTCGTTTAGTTTATGAGAACCGCAAACAAGTATATTAAGTGTTTTTAAACAAATATATTTAGTGCTGTTAAAATAAATAAATAAAAATAAAATAATTTTAAATAAAAAACAATTGGCAAACAAATTTCAACCATTTCATTTCAGATGGAAGAAGAATGTTATGATTTTTATACATATATTTAAAATATATTTAGTTTTTAAGCACAATTCAAATTGTTTTATATAATAAATACTTTTAAACTAAGCACTTTTAAATGATATCATTACTATTTTACTTTTGTTTGCATGTTAATTGTTCGAATTATTTGAAATTTAAAATTGTTTTCTGAATATTTTTAAAATTTTTACGTACATAATAAAATTGAGCACATAACCACCGTGATTTAAAAAATATGTTGATATTGTATAAATTGTAAAAAAGGTTTGTCAAGAAATCTATAAAACACTCACAAGACCTATATTCTATTACCTTCGAGTTAAAAATTAAGTTGGAAGCTATAGTTTTTAAAGATGAAAAGCTTCCAACTTAATAAAAATTAAGTTGGAAGCTTTTCATCTTTAAAAACTGTTAAACATCCAATAAAGAGATGATTGTTAAAAAAATGTGATAAAAGTGTAAAAATATAAAAAAGAAATTTGAAAAAAAAAAATTGTATTAAATAAACTTAATAATGGATTTCCGCGAAAACTTTTAGCTTCAAGTACTCTATGGAAACTTGTGGTCAATTTAATTTGTTTAATTTAATGTGGTTTAATTTCCTATTAATTATTATTTTATTGACAAGAAGATTGGGTAATTTGAAAGAAACATCAGCTTTTATTAGGGCTTATAAATAGAGACAATTTTAGATTTCTTTACATTATTGAAATTCGTTTACAAATAATCCACTTGAGTATTTTTTCTCATTCTTCATTAAGTATTTTGTAAAGTACTTTAAAATCTTTGTAATAACAAAGTTGATCAGCTAATAAATCAGTATTTAGTACAATCAATACTAAATATAAGTCATCAGAAAGAAAGTCTAAATTTCAAAATTTTAAAATTTATATAGCAAAATTTTTACAGGAAGTTATGAATGATTTTTTTTGCGCAATATTATTTAATGCGTTTTATTTTTTATTTTAATGTTGTTATAAGTAAAACTTGTAAAAATATGCAAAGTAGAGTTTAAAATTTGCATCAACTTAAAAGTACCTCCCCCCTTCCACTCTTCAGTCGTGGGGTGTGTCAATAGACACCATAAAAAAACAGTCGTTAAAAGCGCGAAAGATAAACAGCGGGTGTTTATTTAAATATGAGTCAAAGTAATAACTATAAAAGAATTAACGCATCCAACGGTTAAACCACATTTCAATAGAGCAAACAGAGTTTTATTTTTCTACAAACGTGCCGGAACACCATTCCAACACTTTAATTTAGTGAAAATTTTAATTGTGCATTTTTCTTTGTCTTTCAAGTATTTTTTATTTGTTATGCCATGCTATAATAGAAAATATCATTAATGGATTTTTCAGAATTGCAGTTATATTAAGGTGACACTCTTGTATCAACCACCAGATTAAGTCTCCTATCATTTTTGAATTGTTTTGATTTTGTACCTCCGCTCATGCACTTTTGTGGCCTAACTCACTATGTTCTTTGGAGTAGTTGGAAACACTAATTTGTTCTGGTGAGCGTCCAGTGATATTTAAAATGCATTCTGCATCAATTGCGTCAAAAGCCTTAATTTATTTTACTAACTGCTTGTGATTTTTAGCTCTAAGATTTCCAAGAAAACTTTTGATAATTTTGCAGAAATATTTTTTTCTTTTCACTCAATATTGAGTTTGTCATGGAAGTCTCTTGGTTTAAATTTTTCTTTTATCTAAGGCCCAACACAATTTTCACCTTTTGTTTTGACCTCAGATAACTTTGGTAAATGCTTTAAAAGGTACTTAAAAGCAAGTGGTTCCTGAATAAGAATCTTTTCAAACTGCTTTATTAATCCTAACCTAATAAGTAGTGTTGGTATAAACACAATTTTTGAATCAACAAATTGCTCCCATAAGACTTTCCAAGTACCGACATTTAATCTGCAGCCGTGGTGCAGTGGTGTACTTGCGTTATGTTCACTATATTAGTCCTGTGTATTAAAATAAAGTTCAAACTTCTTATGAAGATAACAATTTTATTTGGTTGCTATGGATAACTTGCTTTGCATAGCATAACAGTAACATATTTTCGGTATATTTGGAATATAATGATCTTATTAGTCGTTTTATTGTTATTTTTGCGGATCTTCAATTGAAGTAAATTGTATTATTGAACTTTCAATGATAGATTGGTTAAGGTTCAAAACTATATTATCTGGTACAATAATTTCACCATAAATGCTGTTCATTGCGTTGTGCCTCTCTAAAAAAATATAATTAATTTTAATATATTTAATATAGATTATTCACAGAAAATTCAAATAGAGTCTTTCCAATCTCCATGCCTAGATTCCATTTTTTGAGATGATTTTTTTTTTAAAATTATCTCAAAAAATCTTTTTATTATCAAAATCGGTTCAAGAATATAAACTGAAATTCAAAAGAAATTTCAAATAATAAATTAAATGTTCAAGGAGAAAAAAAAAACATTTTTAATTTCATTAAAAAAATTTAAAAAATGTATTAAATTAAGAGCAAAAGTTTATTTTTTGTTTAAAGTATCTAGGAATATATCGTATATATATATATATATATATATATATATATATATATATATATATATATATATATATATATATATATATATATATATATATATATATATATATATATATATATATATATATATATATATATATATACATATATATATATATATATATATATTTATTCATTTATCAATTTTAAAATTCATACTGTAGCATTCAAAAATTATGAGCTTGTAAAAATTATACTCCCTCAAATTGAGGGGGTTTTAAACTTTATATGGTCATAACTTTTGAACGCTTAGAAATTATTGTATGAAGTTTAAAAAATTTTATTTATTTAGTTGAGAATAGTAAAGAAAATATTTTATCAAATTATTGCCATCTTGTTAAGTGGAGATGTAGCTAAAATTTTAGAGATTTTTGTTTCCAGGCTCCGATCATCGCAATTTTTGCAAAGCATCCATATTTTACATAATTATAAACATTTTAATGCTTGAAGTTTGCCCTATATCTGGAAGTTAGCTTTCTAAAATATTGAAAAATGCTGTATCTACCCCTTAATATAACCTGGGGGTTCCTCAATTATCTATTATATTTAGTTTATTGAATAATTTAACCAAAGCTTATTTAAGCTTGAACGTACTCACAGTTTTAGTTTATCAAAAAATCTAATTATAACAAAATATACTTTTTTCCAACGTTTTTAGATCAAGATAAAAATCTTTTTAAAACTTCCAAAGCTATGTATTGCCAATCAATACATAAATAAAAGAATCACATTTAAGTTTTCTAGGCGTACTTCTTGACGAAATGTAACGAGGAGAAATCATGTACGTCATTTCAAAAATATAACTTGACCTAATTTGTAAAGCAAAATCTTTTTTATATCCAATTTGCTTTTAACTTTTATATTTCTTTTCATCATTCATTGCCATTTCAATTGCGCAAACAGTTAGCAATATATATATATATATATATATATATATATATATATATATATATATATATATATATATATATATATATATATATATATATATATATATATATATATATATATATATATATATATATATATATATAAAATTATTTTGCGGTTACTGAATTTTTGATTGCAACTAGAAAACCAAAAGTATACAAGAAACCAGTACAACTTTTAATTATATGCAGCTGAATTTTGAAAATTTTTGAAGTTTTGCACCACTGTGCACTGGTTCAAATCCAATAAATTAACATTAAATACTGGAAAAACTAAATAAACTCACTTTCATTCCATTAGGAAAACGGTTTTTTACCCTCAAACTTGCCTCAAATCTTTATTGATGAAATTGAAATAAAAAGAGACTCTGCGATTAAATTCTTAGGTGTTTATCTCGATGAGAACTTAACTTGATATCAGCTTATTAATTATGTATGCGCAAAAGTCTCTAAAAACATTGGAGTTTTATACAAAGCTTATCTCAATAAGAAAACTTAAGACAACTTTATTTCTCATTTATTCACTGCTACATAAACTACGCTAATATTGCCTGGTATAGTACTGAAAAAAGTAAATTACATCATCTTCATCGCTGTCAGAAACGAGCAATTCGCATAACTAATTTTGCTGATCGTGTGTAAACCTTGTTTTATTATAATTAAAATTTTAAATATATTTGAACTCAACGTTTTGATAATTTTTAGCTTTGTTTATATGTAAAAAAACAGTCTATCTCCCCCCCCCAGTCTTCAAAGATCTTTTCAGTTTAAAACCCAGCAACAAATACACTTTTTAAAAAAAAAAAAAATTTAACGATACTTTTTGTCAAACAAATTTTAAGCAATTTTGTCTTGCCTATCGTGCACCGCACCTATGAAATAAACTTTTTTTCCCAAATTTTGATTTTGATTGACCAAACAAAATTACAAATTTAATTTTTCCCCTAAATAACATTATACAGTATTACTATATACTTTATCTACTATTTAACTTTATTTTTGGATTTTTATTATTTTTCTCCAACGTTTTGTAGTTATATTATTTACATCCATTTATATTGTTTTTATATTTATTTATGTTGTTTATATTGTTTACATGTAATGTTTTTACATTTAAGTTTTGCTTATATTATTTGCAGTTTTGCTCATTTAAAAGATTCTATATATTTATTCTACTTTATTGCAACGCATACTTTACAAGGTATTTGTAAATTTGTTTGTTTATTATTATTTTTTCAAGGTTCCAATGATAAGATCTTAGTGATCTTCTTTCGAAAATTTTTAAAACAAGACTCTGATAAGCACTTATTTTGGACATCTTCTTTTTGGATGAAAAATTGTGTCGATGTGGTGTTTTTTTATTAATATTATTCTGATTCATTGCAAAAAAGGGTGCAAATTACCACTATTAAGATGGAGATTACTAGAAAACAAATAATAAAAATTAATAAAAAAGTTCCAAAGGGTTGAAGTGCGTGGAAATAAACTTGACAAATACAAGTTTTTAGAGCATTTAGGAATAGATAAAGTAAGAATGAGTTTTGGTTTATGGAACTAGAGATGCTCTTTGAGGAGGAACAATAATAGTATTTGTATAAAAGAGAAAGAGATGCAACAGGGCTGCCATTCATTAATTTCATTTAATTAATTAAAAAGAGTTTTTTTGAAATTGGGGCCACTGCTGGCCCCAATTTGTAACAGAAGTGATATTTTTAATTCAGTACCGGCTATTCAAAATTGGCTGCATGTTCGAAGCAATTGAAAATAAAAGACTTTTTTTTTCAAGACAGGAGTGTAAAGTTAAGACATCAGTAAATAAACCCACTTTAGA